TATGCTCACCAGCTGGCTGAGGGCGGAATTCATCCGACCGCTCCTCTGCCAATGATTGCTATTTTCTGTCTTTTCTTGCGGCCCCTGTCTGGGATGCCTTTCTCTTCTTGCCGCCTGCTTCTTGAACAGGCGCACTCTCCTTGACATTGTCAAGGTCTATTTTTCCACCGCTCGACATAGTGGCCATAACAGTGGGCTTGACATCCGAGAGATAGCACTCTCGGGCCATCCTCTGATCTCCCCTTAGGGACCCGACTGTTCCATTATCCCTCTCAAACTTGAGCAACATAAGAGATGGGATTATAACAGCCTTGGAATTATTCAGGGTTGGTCGTCCCAGAATCATGTTGTAGGCCAAGAGTTCTTCTACTACCAGGAACCGGACTACCATGTGTCGTCCTTCCCCTTTTTCACCCAGGCGGATGGGTAAATCCACTCGTCCCACTGGATGGACGACTCCTCCTCCAAACCCTACTAAAGGGTGGGATGCCGGATGTATGCAATCAGTCTGATATTTTAGTTTCGACAGACATTTGCTACTGATGAGATCTGAGGAGCTTCCGGTATCTATGAGGATTCGGCCAACTCTCTGGTTGGCCACTTTACATTCAATAACGATAGGGTCGTCATGCGGCCCTCTGACCCCTCCTAGATCTTCTTCAGTGATGACAATCTCAGGAAATGAATATTTGGAGGGCCGTTCTTGGTGAACAGAATTTACATCTAACCGTCTGATATTGTCTTTGTTGCCCCTAATAGTGGGGCCGCCTCCTGAGAAGCCGCCTGCAATGGTGTAGACGACTGCATCATCTGTATCGGAACTGTCGGCCTGCTGATTCTTTTTGGCCGACTGCTTTTTCGAGGAAGTGTTCCCCGTAGATTTCTTGACATAAGTGTCAAGATCACCTTGCTCAGCAAGGCGGTCCAGATACCGCATGAGACTGATGCATTCATTGGTGTGATGACCAACATCTTCATGATAATCACAGAATTTTTCTTGGTTCCGGTTGTTTGCAGAACCCTTCATGGGGACCGGCTTCTCAATTGAGATCCGTCCCTTGATTTCCTTTAGGATAAATTGGCTATCCTTGTTAAACGCATACTTTGGGGAGTATGGTTTGAATTCTTTTTTCTTTTTCTGGGCCGGCTGTTTAGAGGAATCAGCCGCCCAGACCTCTTTTCTCTTCTCGTCTTTGTTTGACGACTGTTTCTGTCGTCCTTCTCTTTTGTCGGACCTTCTCCCGTCTGACTGTTTTACCGTACTACAAAGATCAGTCGCCTGCATATAAGCTTCCGCTTCAATCAAGGCCTCTTGAAGATTCGCCACCCTCTTTTGGACCAAATCAAATTTGAAGGTCGACCCGTCTTTGAGACCTCTGAAAAAGTCAGTATAGGCTACTTCATCCGGTAACCCTTGAATCTGTATTCTCATCAGGTTAAACCGCCTGATGTAAGAACGAAGCCCCTCCTTCTCGCCCTGCTGAATTGTTCCTAAATCAAGGGTCGTCTTCTTCGCAGGGATGTTCATGGCGAAGTTGGAGGTGAATAAGTAAGCAAGCGTCTTGAAGTTATTTACACAACTAGTCGGCAGGTTGCCGAACCATTGTTGTGCGATTCCTTTGAGAGTCGCTGGGAAACACTTGCACCAAGTGGGATCATCCAACCCTTGAAGGTACATCAGGTTGGTGAATGCCATCAGATGGTCTTCTGGGTTAGTAGTGCCGTCATAGGCGCCTACTAATACATTTTTCACTTTGGCCGGCTGAGCGGCTTCAGTAATTTCCTTGGAGAAGGCCGACGACTGTTCGCCAAGTCTAAGCAACCGTAGCTGCCAGTCCATAGGTTGGACGTTTTTTTGCTGCTTGTCCACCAAACGGAGGTGGCTGCAAAAAAATACTGTTGTTGCGGCACAAATGGTAAGTTTGGTACCGCCTGGTCGCTATGAAAGCCGGACTGACGGGAGGTGCCGCCTGACTGACTCTCATGATACGACTGAGTATGCCTCATCGAGGTATTTCGCAGACTGTCTTGGAAGTTTGAAGTAGAGGCCGACTCTGACAATCGGTCACTCTTCTTCTGCTCTAGCAGTAGCCGAGCGTCTGTGTATGTTTTTCTCGACCCGTCCGCCTGAATATGACGAACAGGTTTCCTATTTCCTGGAGTAGGAAAACGGTATTTTGAGAAATCAAGGGCAGGTGGCTCCCACTTCCTAGATTTAGGATGAGGGGTCGCCTCTCGCCCTTGAACTGGCTTCCTCTTCCGTGAAGTGGAGGGTTTCTTAGCCGACCGCTCCTTGTACAGAGCAGGCGGCTTCTTGTTGATCAACTCTTGAATTTCTCCCTTGAAGTCCCTCATGAAGGTCATGAGTTCGTTCCTTGTGATGGGAGCAGACCCATCAGTCGGCTGTTGCCGAAAAGGCGGTGCGCCTGCTGGCTCGCTTCCAGTTTGAAGATGTTCCCGTTCCCTCCTTTCGGTATGACGGGTACGTCGGGCCCTTAGGGTCCCGTCTGAAGCTGTGTGAGCTTCAACTTCAAATTCATTCTCAATATCGTGGTCCGACTGAACTTGAGGGTCGTCTAGGGGACGCCTCTCTTCAGGAGCCGGTACAAACGTGGATGCCATCTCAGAAGTACTCTCCCCACAGACGGCGCCAAAATGTTTCGGGGTTTTCTGATGTCTGCGGGAGAGTTACAATTCCGAGACTGGAACCGGACGCCTGTACCTGCAAAAAAAAACGGATGCTCCGGATGATTGGAGATCCGCCTCCGACGGTCAAGTTAGTACTTGATTAAGGAGTAATTAATGCGGAAATTAAAGTGATTGGGTCTCTCTAGGTGAGAGAGTTTAATGTGTGTAATCTGCGTTTTTTTCGTAATCCCCCTTAATGAGGATTAAGGGAGGTATTTATAACCTCGGGAAACGTGCCACTCTAGGTTTAGGTTAACCTTGGGCTGATTGGGATTCCCTCGGAAGTTGGGCCTAGGTGACCGGTTATCCCAGGTGTTATGGGAAGGACACGTGTCGTGTCGTAATTGGTCCATAGTGGACGGATCATTGCTTGACACGTGACAGACTCCTATTGGCCCATGTGACGGACACATGGCGGAACCTGATTGGTCCACTTGTCAGATGGTGATTGGTGGGGAAAAATCCCCTAATCAAGCCTCATTTATTACCGTAGTCCTTCAAAGGGAAAAAGTGTTTAGGTTGTGGTTTATGGACTTCGATAAATTGGTCTTACAAAGTCATTGCATATATTGGTCCAATGGTCCCCTCTAGACCTCTAGTAGGTGCCAGGTGGATAATCTATTACATTATTAATAAACCAAATAAATTTGTTTTGTTGAATAAACAAGTTACTCCCTTTTGTTGCAAATTTGCAAAAGGCATGTTTAGAATGGTTAACATCTTTGATTATGAATATAGTTAATACTTAAATTAATTTTATTAAAATTAGTTGCTACTTGCTAGTACCCAAATCTAAGATATGTCCTTTTCAAACGAATTATTTTAAAATTTTGATAAACAGATATGTGATATGTCCTTTTTAATGGAATTATTTTAAATTTTGATAAATCACATAAGTTGTTAAATTTAGACAATATATATAATATACAATAGTGTTTAAACTTACTATGAATTCTTATATATACCAGTAGTAAGTTTAAACCAATTTAATAATTTAAATCTAAGGGGTACATATATAATTAGCTTTCTATTATTTTTGTATATCTTTCCTATAAACTTTTTTCTTGAACGTCCCTTACAATGATTTACATACAACTATACCAGTTAAGCTCTTAAGAGTGAACATGTTAGAGAATCATAAATACTCATCATTAGAGAATCCTTATCTTGAAAACATGATAACTCGATTCAAAAAAAGTTCTACAATCAATGATCGTTGCCATGCACTAAAAAGAGCTAACATGCCTGTTCAAAATGTGGAAATGTAACTGAAAGTGCAATACATAAACTTGTAGCATCGTATTATGTTTCAAGATACACATGAAAGGTCGCATCTACTAACATGTATTGATTCCAAGATTTCCAACTCCAGGATTTAGATTCATCAGCATGGATAGAGTTGACCTTTTTGGTCACTCGTTAGTATAAAGGTATACATAATTTCATAACTTGGATTAGATATATTACTACTAGAACATAGAATTTGTCAACTAGCAAGTTGTGCTTGCATTTTTTTTTCCTTGATTAAAGTCGTGGATTGTGTGATGCCACCGAAAATGGAATAAATGGATCATTTAGTTGATTTGACAACTCCATTGCCGACTTTAATAGATGAATTACCATACTAATAAGGTAATTGGTTGCATTATGGTGTTAAAGTGTCATGTGGTTTTTTAATCTTTGATTTTTTTCCCTTTCCTCTCATGTACCCTTTAAGATGATAATGAATGTCCGCTTTAAGATGATAATGGATGTCCGCGTTTAGTTTCTACTTTTACTTCGGATCATAAATCAAAACCCTAACTTTATTATTTTTTATTATTATTGAGTTGCATAGAACCCTTATAATAAAGTAATAGTTGATCAAGCCAGCCAATAAGTTAGGTACGTATATATATTCATATATTCGAATAACTCATTTACAACTATTAGTGTTGAAACATAGCCACCAATTCAAAACTACCAAACCTTCACATCATTGATTTTGTTTTTATCAAATATGTAGGGGAGGGGATGGAGGCCAGAGAGGTAGGCGATAATATATTATTATAATAATAATGAAAGTATGTATGTTTGACAAAATAGTTCTCAGCTTTTACATGTTGCTTGATTGGTAAGGAAGATATGATTATATGAAGATATGAGAATTTCTACTATTGTAATGCATATAATCCTAAAACAGCCAGTTGCAAAACACAATCTATTTTCTGTTTCTAGTGCATAGATATAACAAGATCTTAATGTTTGCTCAAATATTCTGAGAAGGATTATATAATAATATAAGAAGTGGAATCTATCTATCTATCTATAATTCTATATTATATATACTCTTATAAAAGCCCCAAGCACCCCTACTGTAGCAATTTTACTGTTCCTTATGAACAAGAGATTGACGGTTTTGTCCTCCCCTGCCCTTAGCACCCTTCTTTGATTGACTTGATTGACAGGGGTAGTTCGGTCATTTCGCTTTGACAATCCAGCTGTTCTGAATAAGCTGACGCGTGGCATTCATCTTTCTGATTAGCTATGTCTTCTTTCTTTTTCCATTGTTCCTTCCTGAATTCTACTTTCTTTTTCCATTTCGTTTATGTGTTTCCTTCTTAATTATTTCCTTTTTAGTTGTTTCCTTGTTAATTATTTCCATTTTGAACGAGTGTTGCAGCGGTTAGTTCGATGGCGAGGTTTCATGGAGCTGCTGTAATTGCCATGGCTATTTTTGTCCTTTTGCTTAGGAGGGAAGCGTAACTCATTCTCTCTCTTTCGTTCCTGGTTAGCTGGGTCTTGTTTGCTTTTTTTTTTTTTTTTTTTTTTTTTGTAATAAGGGTGTTGCATTAATCGTGTTTTGTAAGGGTGTTGCATTCATCGTGTTTTGGCTTTTTTTTTTTTTTTTTTTTTTTTTTTTTGCAGCTGTTAATTTCATGGAGTGGTTTGATGGAGCTTCTTTGGTCGCAGCTCTGGATCTGGTTGTTGAGCAGTGTGAGGTGTGCTTAATTATTGTTTCTCATTTTATTGCGAATTAGTTTAATTATTGTTGAGTTTGATGATAGAAAATTGTGAATGAGCAGCCCATTGTTATGTTTTAGCTTAGCTAATAAAATTGTGAACAGAAAATTATATTCTTGTAGATTTCTCCTATAAATTAATTAAGGATTAACTTAGCCTCAATGAGTATGTTGGTGAAAATTTGGCTTTGGAAATTACAGTGGGAAAGTAACTTGGCTTTGGAGACTACACTGTTCAAATACAGTATTTATACAGAATTATCTGGTAGTGTATGTGTATATAAAATTTGATAGAGGGGTTTTATTGTGTATTTATTGTCCTTTTTTTTTTTTCCCCTGGGGAGATTAAAAAATGGTTGCTTTTTTGGTGAATAATAGAAATATATGTTCTTTTAAGTTGCATGTGTATTATTTAATAGTTTTTAGAGGATAGATATTTGTTTATGATGTACTGGATCAATTTATATGGTGTAGCTTTTTTGGCTAATAAAATATAATATATTTGTCCTTTGCTTTATTCTTTGCTTTCAACTTCTGTATTTATATATACTGCATATTTGGTTTGCTTTCATTTCTTTTACATTTCTGGCTTGCTCCTTCTTTATCCTCTGACATAAAAAAGGTTGGTTTGTGAAACTTTGCTGGGGTAATTGTTTAGCTTGTAATTATCTCATAAAAATGTAATGTGATTGCTGAAATTCCACATGGATCTCAATTATACAGACAACATTGGATAATGACTTAATGAATTTTGAACTTTTACGCTACATGATCACCTGGACATACATTGAACTACAATTACTTACTTTACAATTATGAACTTCATACTAATAATCTAAAACGAGTTATTTAAAGTTAATATAGATTTCTGGAACCTTGAATTTGGTTAGATAGCTTATTTTTTTTTATTTTCTGTGTTTTCTGTTCTCTCCTTTTTCTTTTTAATTTTTTTTTGAAAAATTAATTGAAAAAAAAAAACATAATTATTGTAGGTCTGTGCAGTTGGAGCGGTGTTGTTAAAATTGCTTGCTGCTATTGTTGGTAAGTTTGTTGAGATCTTTTAAATTAAGATTTTACAAGGTCACTTAGTTTTCTTAGATATGTTGACTTTGGCTGTAATTTGATTGTAGTTTTGATTTAGTGGATCTGTATGTTTCTTTAATTTTAATTTTTGCCGGTTACAGGTTATGGCTATTCAGTCAAGCAAAATTGCCATTCCATTTTGACCTCTTTTAGGTCAATTGGTTGACTGTTTAAATTTTCCTAAAACAATTTATGGTTTTATAGATAAGGATAGGAACAATGCCTGCGTTCGTATTAGAACTGAATGTGGCAAGTCTGAATTTGTATTTTTCGGTGGGGAGGCTAATACAGTTCAGGAGTCGCAAGAAAGGGCTGCTCAAAAAGCTGTGCAAAAATTGATGAGCCAGTTTGGGGTGCAGGTGAGTGATTTTACATCCGATAGAGCAAGGATGTATCAGCTATGCAATAAGCTTTTTAAGCATAAGGTTGTTGAGTTATGTCGTGAGAAAGGAATAGAGATGCCTACTACTCAAAAGAATTTGGGAAAAAAACCATCTAATGAAGTTATCCATGTGACAATTGATTTTGTGAGCTTTTTAGGAGCTGTTGTTACAAGGACTGGAGCAGAGGTGAGTCCATTAGAGACTATTTGGGTTGAAGATTTGGGTTTTGTGTCTTGGCTAACAGTGTCTTTCCCACATAATGGAGCTGAAATGGAATGCATATATAGTGATCCTTGTCCTGAGGTAACTGGTGCAAAGCAAAAGGCTGCTAAAAGAGCTATTCATTACCTGGTGACTAAGTATAGCTTAGAGATCATTGATGCTAATTATGGTGCAGCTTTAGAGAAGAGTGTTGCTTGTAATGCTTTTAAGAGTAGGTTTTACCAGTTAAAGGAACACTTGGCTGCCAGAGAAGAAAACTTTGCTGGTGATGAATGCTTGACTCCTACTTCTGAAAGGTTTCAGATACCTAAGGTTGGTGTGCCTCCACCAGCTCCAATGAAAAGACGCTCTGCTACGCCATTAGATGCTGCATCTTCTTCTACCATTAGAGTTTCCGAGCCTTTAGTTTCTGGCATACCTGAACTAGAGACTGTTTGGAAGCGCACAAAGTTTGCTTAGGTTATTTGGAGTCTTAGTTTAGTATTTTGGGTAGCAAGATGTTTGCCTGATTAAAGGTGTTTAGGTTTAGTATTCACATATGCCTCATATTATCTAGATTTCTATCTTTCCTTTTGTTTTAAAACTTAAGTCTAAGAGTAGTGATTGTTGAAATATTTCATTAGAAAATAGACTTGTATGCTGTAACTGAAATCTAATGTAATGTGTATTTTGAGTAATTAATGGATGCACTTTTGATTTGCATGTTGGTTCAAGAATATTTTATAATTTTACTGTTTATTGCATGGCTTCTTAATTTAATAATACTCTTTTGTGTTTGATGTTATGTATGTTCAGCACATTACATTTGCCTAATAGCCTGAGTTTATGCACCAGACATTTGTCATGTAGGCATCCTCTATAGTTTTAAAATCTATCTGAAGTTGTCGTATAAGGTTTTTGTTTTTGTGTAATGCTTCTATTATTGTTTTTTGTGTTTGTTAAGAATGAAGAAATAAGGATTGACTAGATTATAATCTGAAAGTTTTAAAATGTCAGATAGTTCATTCAGTCCATAAAGTTTTGTTAATGTAGGAAAGGAATTGGCGCAGCTTGCTCTTGCGGTTGGGTTTTCAGATGCCAAATTTTATGAGATTGTTGGCGGACTAATTGGAAATCTGGTGGTAATTCAATAAGTGGGTCCTTGTATATTACATCATAAATACGGCATTCTGATAAATTGGTGAATTATTAGCTTTTGTTTTACCTTGTCATCTTTTATCTGTTTAATTACATACTGGATAATTTGTAAGTGTAATGAGTCTAATTATTGGTTCATATGACTTCTTTGCTAACCTAGCATATATTTGCATTTAGCATCTTTTGTTTTGGGGATTGAAGAGGGATTTTTTAGAGTAGATGAAGAGAACCTTTGAACATCCATAGAGTAAATAAATTGGTTAAACTTCCTCCGTTATTTTTAGATGCATCACTTTAAAAATGAAGGACTACTAGGCAATTTTTGGAGTACAGAGAGATAGAGAGAAAAAATAAAGAGGGCTCATGTAATGAAGGAGAGATAGAGAGAATTTATTAATTAAAAAGAAATTGATGCAAATATTGTTAGTGATATGCAGATACCATTAATAAGATACAAAGCAATGTAGTGGATTAGTAGAATTCATTTTGTTTTGTTTTGTGGCATTGAAAATAGGGGGGTATTGCAATTAGAACCTGAGATCAGTGTCAAATTCAGGAATTACTGTACAGCAATTAGAACCTGAGATCAGTGTCAAATTCACAGAATTTTAAGCAGAACAAATATTGAACAGGTAAACATCTACTTAGAATCATTGAGAGAAATGTGCAGGTTAATGTATCAAGTTGATAGAATTTTTGTGGATTTAATTTGCAGAGCCTCTCATTTTACAGACCAAAAAACATCTTCTGAACTGCAGCTTCGGAGAATTTAATATGTTTTCTTTTTACAGTAAATGACATAAACAGGAATCATCAATATCCTGTGCGCATTGTTGAGATAGCTTGATCTGCACCAAAGTAATATGGGTATGTCTGAAAATTGACATGATGTTTAGGAAGGATTTTTTTATATATGCTCATTGCTATACTCATTTACGATGTTTGTTTAATGTTTAAAATGCTGAGTTATTGCTTTTAATATGTATATGATAGCTGATGCACCTGTTAACTTTAAGAGACCATCAAGTAGAGGGCGGAAATCAAAGCGAATAAGTGATTTGATATCAAATCATAATTCTTCTAGGTAAAGTACATGACTTATAATAATGGATTTTATTTTTTGTGAAGCAAATTCATAAACTCTTTATGCTTTGCACAGTCAAGCAGAACAGTCAAAGTCCAAAAAGGCAAAATCAAGACCTTCAAAATATTCTGTACTTGAAAGTGGGTATTTTTCCTTGGTTTAGGTTTATAAAGTGAATATATATGTAGTGCTATTTAATCGGACCTGGTGTAATTTTCTCTTCGTACCTCTACAGAAAGACCCGTGTCTCTTAGAGTTACACCATCAAATGCACAGAGTTTAAAGCAGCTAAGGGATGCTGCTAAAAGTAAGCCTTGGTAGAGATTTCAGTTAATAGAGTTAACACTTATATGCTGTTGCACAATACAATTATCTTAGATATCCTTTTATACTATTACAGAAGCCCCTGCGGCCACTATAGGAAGACCATTACCTACGCAACCCTTAGAATTATCTCCGCCTACCTACTGTGCTGAGTGCGGGGCTAAAAAGTTTGCGTTTGAAACCCTGCATTTCTGCTGTGGCAATGGTGATATTAAAATAGTTGCGAATGAATATCCCCCTGAATTAGTGAGACTTTTTACTTCAAGAGATGAAGATGCTGTGCATTTTAGAAAGTATGCTCGATTATACAATAACCTATTTGCCTTTAGTTCAATTGGAGGTAAAACTGACAGAGAAACATACAAAGGTATATATGTCTTTAAATTACATGGCCAAATATATCATTCTGTACCAGACTTAATACCAGATGAGAATGGTCCAAAGTATCTACAGCTTTATTTCTATGATGGCCAAAATGAATTGAAACACAGAACAAATTGCTTTCCTGAATTAAGACAGGATGTTATTGACAAATTAATGCAAATAACTAAAGATAATCCATATGCAAGATTTTTCAGATCTTTGAGAGAAGTAAATGTCGATGAAAGTACTAACATTATAATAAATTCAAACACTGTGCCAGATCAAAGGGTGTATAATGCTCCCACTTCAGATGAAGTTGCGGTTATCTGGCCTGATAGTGTTTCATCAAGTCAGAGTTCATGGCCACATGTTCTTGTGACAGCAAAATCTGCGAAATCCCATCGGATTGCCCATTTTTATGGGTGCTATGACCCTTTACAGTATCCCCTGCTATTTCCAAGAGGTGAATGTGGTTGGCATCAGGGTCTAAAAAAAACTTCTTATGGTGGAGATAGGCAAGTGGCAGCAGAACCTGATCCTATTCAATCATGTGCAGTGAACACTCCGGCAGATTTTCTGGATGCAGAAGCTGCTCGTAAGTTCCTATCAAAACTATGGGATTTTTTGGTTAATTGCTTCTTCGCCTATGTTCCCTTAAAATATGCTTAGTTTGAATTTTTTTTTGGATTTTAATGTGTATAGGAGCTTCCGGAAGACATACGAAAGCTGATAAGAATATCTCTGCAAGGGAGTACTATACTTATAAGCTTCAAATTAGACCAGGAAACATGCTCTTAAGAGCAGGCCGTGCATTTCTGCAATACATCACAGATATGTATATCAAGGTTGAAAATACAAGGTTAGATTTTTTCCGGCAAAATCAAGATACAATAAGAGCAGATCTTTATAAGGGTATTCTTGACACAGTAGAGAGTGGACAGACAAGTGCAGCTAATGTTGGTCATAAATTCATTTTACCACCATCATTTATAGGAGGCCCTCGTGATATGAAAAGGAGATATCTGAATGCAATGGCTCTTGTGCAGAAATACGGGAAGCCAGATCTCTTCGTCACTATGACATGCAATGCAAATTGGCCAGAGATAAAAGCCGAACTAGAGCCCGGTGAGACTGCCCAAGACCGACCTGATTTAGTTGCTCGTATATTTCGGGCGAAGTTGATTGCTCTGAAACAAAAATTCAAGAAAGACATGGTATTTGGAAAAGTGGCAGCGATGATATATGTTGTAGAATTTCAGAAAAGAGGATTGCCGCATGCTCATTTCTTGTTGATTCTAGAACAGCAGCATAAGATGAAATCTCCTGCTGATTATGATAGGTATGTTTGTGCAGAGATACCTCCTGTTACTCAGCCTGAACTGTGTAAGATTGTATTAAGGCATATGATGCATGGACCATGTGGCCAATTAAATCCAGAGTGCCCTTGTATGAGAAAGAAGGATAATGTCTTTTCTTGTAAAAATGGATATCCAAAACAATTCACCGCACAAACAACGACAAATAAAGATGGTTATCCTTGTTATAAGAGAAGTGATACTGGAGAACAAGTGAAGGTCAGAAATGCCGAGTTAGATAATCGATGGGTTTTACCTTATAACCCTTATCTCGCAACACTCTTTGATTGTCATTTAAATGTAGAGGTTTGTTCGACTATAAAAGCAGTGAAATATTTATATAAATATGTTTACAAAGGACATTATCGAGTGGCCTTCAATATTTCGGCAGAAGATAGAAATTCTGGAGATGAAATTGCTCAGTTTCAGTCAGGAAGGTGGGTGTCACCGTGTGAAGCGGCTTGGAGAATTTTCGGGTTTGATTTATTTGAGATGCATCCACCAGTCTTACCTCTGTCTGTTCATATTCCAGACATGAATACTGTCTGTGTACGCCCGTATGAACGTCTTGATATAGGTATTGCAAGTGGTGTTTATGCAAAGACTCAATTAACAGAGTTCTTTCGTATGAATGCAGCTAATGATAATGGTCTTGGTTACTTATATGGAGAATTTCCAGAACACTATAAGTGGGATGCTTCAGCAAAAACATGGTCCAACCGACAAAATAAAAACTCGATGGTTGGCCGTTTAGCTTTTGTGGCTCCTTCTGAAGGTGAACGCTTTTACCTTCGACTATTATTACTGAATGTCAGAAGTCCAAAATCTTTTACAGACTTACGCACAGTTCAAGGTTATGTATGTGAAACTTTCAAGGAAGCATGTCTTAAAGCTGGCATTTTGGAAGAAGATGATGCTGCAAGCAGTTGTTTGGCTGAAGCAACTGAAATTCAGCTCCCCGGGGCTCTGTGCCGATTGTTTGCAACTGTTCTTATATTTTGCCAGCCGAGTGATCCGGCAGAACTATGGCGCAAATATTATCCTGCATTGTCAGAAGATTTTGCACAAAAGTACTCTGGTGCAGAAAGCAAAATTAAGATACTAACTGTAAGATCAGTGGAACAACATTTAGAGGCTATGGGGAAGTCATTATGTGGCTGTGGTCTAGCTGTTTTAGTGGATAACAATGATACTGAAATTGATAGAACAAAAGACATTCAAGATGCACTAGATGCTCCGATTCCTCAGGCTTGTATAGACAGCCGAAGCTTGCTAAATCCAGCACAAAAGGAAATATTTACATGTATCATGCAGCATATAGTGGAAGGAAAACCAGGGGCATTTTTTGTAGATGGTCCTGGTGGGACTGGCAAAACATTCTTATACACTGCACTTTATGCTGAGATCCGCCTTATGAATAAGATTGTTTTGCTAACAGCTACATCAGGAATAGCCGCAGCAAATATCCCGTCTGGTAGAACGGCACACTCAAGATTCAAGATTCCAATGGATAGTGATGCTTCATTAGCCTGCAGCGTTTCTAAGCAAAGTAGTTTAGCAGCATTAATAAAAGAAACGGCTCTTATAATATGGGATGAAGCATCAATGGCAAACAAACAAAATCTAGAGACTCTAGACCTTCTGTTACAAGACATATGCAATAATGATGTAATATTTGGTGGAAAGGTCATTGTCTTCGGTGGAGATTTCCGACAAGTGTTGCCTGTTGTCCCTAATAAGACTCAGAGAGAAGCTGTTGAAGCAAGTGTAGTGAGTTCTTATATATGGAAGCATTTAAGAAGATTCAGGTTAACTGAGAACCTAAGAGCCAAGGAAGATCCTTCATTTTGTCAATTTTTGCTTGCACTAGGAAACGGTGAATTTAGAAATTTCTTGTGAGTTACTTGATTAGTTAGAATTAGCTAGATAAGTGATGAAAAATTATGCATTTCATAAAAAGATGCTACTAACCAGAATATTACTGGAACCATTTGCATGCACAGATCAGAAATACAAAACAACAAGACAGAAGCCAGAATATGTGTACTTGAATCAATTAAATGCAGCAAGCAAGGCTTATATAGTAAGGGTGGTTGTTGCTGAAAAAGGAAGGGACATACTATCTTCCAAAAAAACGGTCAGATTCCAGACTTTACTTCTAAAGGATGAAAAGGTATGCATTTATTACTTTATATGTGACTATCATACTAAATCTGCTACATTTATGATGCAATTGAAAACTACACTGTAAAAAGGTTTCACATACTAAAATACTAAAATATTGAGAATAGAAAACCTTCAAAAGATCGCATTGATTAGCTAACATTCACATAAACAAGACTACTATTTTTAGATCATGTTTGAGTGCAGTTTAATTCATATCAGGCAATATGGTAGGCTGTACAATAATTATAGTAACAAATAATAAAAAACAGCTTGACTGATTATATTACTTTACTATTTTTATATTGTGATTTAGCTTTTAATATAATTTTAGTTATGCTGTAATCAATAATCATACTCAGATTAACATTTAGTTACCTGAATTATACTATAAATTACACTATAATGCAATTCCACTTATGTCTAAATGATAAAAATTCAAGTGAAATATTAGCTTTTTAGATTTATTTTACAATAAGAATAAAACCACCTTCTAATAACGCTACTCTACAGAGCTTAATGTTGTTAAAAGTTTTGAATGGCTGCTTATCATTTATAGTCAATTACATCAGTGATAAAGTAACTTTGTCTGAGCAACAATTATATTAAGCAAAGCACATATTGTATGCAATTTAAATCAAAGAGCAGTGACGCCTTATTCTCCCTACCTAACAACAAGGTATATATAGTTAACAATTTTGATGCATAACTATAATATAATGGTTATGGTCATTGAACTTAATTACTGATGTCTGCTTCACAGGGTAATAGAATGCGCGGTACTTTATTTGGCGATCAAATTGAAGCCTTTGATGAGGCATTACAGTACCTCGGAGAGTATGACATTTCTGCTGCGCCAATTAAATTCATTGACGAAAAATGGAGGACTGAACTTGATCAGTTTCCTTACCAAATGACTTTTGGTAGTAGAACTGTAATTCAGCCAGTACATCCAGAGCTTGGACCAATTCTGCCCAACTATCGACCAATAGCAAGTATACCTCGTGCGGTAGATCCTGATGAGAAAAACGGTATAATGCACTTACTAAACAATCTCGCACCAAAGTTAGATAATTAAAAGGCTAACAAAGTTGTCTTAATTCACAGATGTCGTAGGTGTAGTGTTATTTGTAGAAGAGGAGCCGAGGAAAGTTGAAGCCAGAGATGGAAAGAGAGAAAGCTGGGTGCGAGAAATAGTCATCACTGATCAAAGGTTCATTTTCAAAGAACTAAATGTTCGGATATGCCAGATATATAATTTGGTACAAATTACAAATTAAGATCACTAAGAATATGCATTTCATGTAACAGCTGCGATCGATCGCTCACCATCTCAATGTGGAATGACCTTACGGCAGGAAAGTACTTCGACAAATTACCTACTTGGGCAGAAGCGTTCAAGGTTATAGGATTCACGGCTCTTAAACCATACACTCGTCGTGGTAAGACAGATATTACTATAACTTACGTAAATGGTTAATTGCGATGAATCAATGATCCCATCTTGGTTATATTAGGTTTTTCGATGAATTCTGCTGTCCACTCGAATAATATATGAACCTGAGGGAGAACAAGCTCGTGTGGTGTCTGATTGGTAATTTCCTAAACCTAAACTAACAAAAATAATAGCCTTTACAGTGTGCTGATCTACTCTTTAACTAACATTGTGTCAGGGCTAATCTCTTCCACCAGAGGTTAGTAGATAGACAAGCAAGAGTCTTAGATGTAAGGTACCCAAGTGAAAACAAAAAAATTGTTTCCATTGCTGAACTAAAGCAGAAAAAGGTAAACATTAAGGAATTACTGCCTGTTTTCAGACGTTCATGCTAAACTATAATCAAGTATACAGATTCTAACTGATATTCATAAATATAATGTACATGTAGCCAAGTAACACCTTGCAAGAAGAAACTTTATGGATTGAAGTGACTATTCAGGATGCTGAATTAGAAAAAGTGAATGCATATACGGGCTGCTCAAACTGTTGCAAGCGCACCAACCTTCCATTGCAGAAGCGCTATTCTTGCTCTTCTTGTTTGAACAAAGAATGCATCTGCACTGAGAGGTATAAAACAAGTTTCCTTTTATATCCATTACTATTTATTAATATTCTAGATGACAATGCTTACTTTACATTTGTACCAGAATTACGTTCAAATTTGAAGCTAGCGACACCACAGGAACTATGGCATTCACCACTTTCAACGATGATATAGAAAGATTATTCAGGAAAACTGCAGCTGAAATTTATGCCATTAAAGAATCAATAAATTAATTTACGATATTCTTACCTTCTATTTACTTTCCAGCTTATATGTGCAGTTTAACCTTACAAAGAATGCTAAAAAAACTTTGCATTCAGAAAATTTTCAGCCTATATGTGCAGTTTAACCTTACAAAGAATACTAAAAAAACTTTGCATTCAGAAAATTAGAGTTATAGGCAACAATATGCTTAAACTTAGGATTAATCAAGTTAAATTTAACACTTGAAATCTTCTCTACATAATTCATTATGTAAGACCAATAAAGCAATCTACTTACATGAAATCAGTGCTTATACAGATTACATTTTTCATTTATATGAGTAACGATTCTACACGTGCTCTTTCAGTTAATTCTAATGCTTGCTGTTATAACAAAATCAACGCAGGATGATCACAACGCATTCAAGACCATTCAAGACTTACTCAGCAGCACACCGTTCTATATTAAAGTTGGACCTACTTGGCACTTGGGTCAGAACAATGTTCTGGAGTGGACACTCAGAGCTATTGAGCTTAAAGAAAATCCTCACACCCAAGAAGCTGAGCAACTATCTGCTGGTTACTTCAGCCAAGAAAAAGATGCAAGTGAAAAGGTTCCAGAGAACACTATTGAGTCAGGTAATTCTGAACCGTTCATTCCTACCCCAAACTTGAAGAAAAATTCTGACAAGCATACACAAGAAGAGCCTTACACTGAAACACTTGACACCCCTCAGCAAAGTATTGAATCACTTAAGCGCAAGAAATCCTTAGGAAAAAGTCCTATGGAATTTGAAAGTGAAGAAAGCGAATCCCAAGTGCCACTATCACAAGTCGGGGCGAAAAAGAAACTTTGCTTTGGTGGAATGACTACGAAGAAGGACACTGCAGGTCAAAATCCTACAATACCTTTGGCAAAGGATCGTGTTGAAGATGTAGCTGAGCCTCTGGGATCTGAGCACAGGCAAACCACACCAATTATTGTGAAGACTGAAAAGGTTAACAAGCCATCTGTTGAATCTGCCACCAAGGAAAAGTAGTCTCTGAACTACTAAGAAACTATATATGCTGCTAATGAAGTATTGAAGATTATCTACTTAAGGTGCACTACTTGAAAATCTTTTGCATATTAAATCTTTTGCTAGACTTTAAGTATATGGGCAACTATAAGAACTTCGCTTTCGCTGGGACAGTAGATCAGCATATTATGATAAGGACAATAGATAGTTGCCGAAAATTTTTATAAAAGCTCCAGCATCGTGTAGTACTAAACTTCAGTTTATCTTCAGAATTTCATGTATATAGGAATTAGATGCTGTGGAGAGAAATCTTTTGAGGAGTTTTCCAGGAACAATAGCAATAGTTAATGTTCCTGGAAAACACCATACTAGGACTATATTCTAATGTACTGCTAAATTAATGTGCATGTTAAAATATATCTATAAAAAATATATTAGTTTATGTATATTGCTTTTCGTGAAATTTATTACATTGCTTTTGGTGAAATTTATTACTATGATGTTTGTTTAAAGCTGCTTGAATTATGATCAAATAACTAACACAATATTGAGAGCAGTAAGCTTTCAAAAGATCACATTAATTAGCTAACATTCACGTAAACAAGACTTTTCTAAAAAAACCATTAATACATATAATACAAATTAACTAAATATTACAACCGTAGATATAGAAAACTCCATAATAGAAGATCAACACCAACTGACCAACTTCATATTGGAGAATTTTACACGTTAGATGGCTAATAGCGAAACAAGTTTTACATATCATTAGAAAAAATTGTATCTTAAAGTATATAGTGTAAAGTCACAATATTACCATGTAATATAATTACTATTACTTAATAAATGTAATTTAATATACTTTTAAATTATTTTTTAATATTGTTCAAAATCATAATAAATATGAAACTATTTTTATGGATCATTCCACCAATAAACGAAATATTTGAAGCAATTACTCACTAGAAAAATTCGAAAGGATCTACTATTACAAAAAATAACCAAGGTAGATACATTCACCAATAAAATTAAATTATCATACATTTTTCAACTACTATATGTACATTAAAGTGACAACTAAATGAGGTAAAGATAGTATTGATTCTGATTTTTTATTTTTGGTTTTAATTTCGATCAGTAGTTTGCAATTCATAGATGATCAATACAATGAGCCCATGAGCCTACGACCCATAGAGTATACCAGACCTAACCCATTTAGACTAGACACTTGTGTATAGCCTATACTAGGATTGAACCTTAATCCAAAAATTGTCCTTTTTTAAGGTATTGTCAAATGCAAAGTATATTAATTAATTAACTAATTAATTAATTAATTAATTGTAATAAAGTTAAAGTAATGCTTTGCATACGTCAGTAGGTATGTATTTGTTTAAGTTTGATTTCTTTTTAATTATTCCTTAAAGCATGAGCAAGTGACCATTATTATTAATGTATTATTTATGATATTGTAACTATTTAAACAGTTGGATCAAATTAACATGAAAACGCATAAAATTAGATAATTCTCATCGAACTTTAAGATGCTTTATTATGACTCAAGTCATTATAAACCACGTCGCATTTTATTCCATGACAAAGGAATTCGAGATTTTCTTATTTGTGCACAACTAATATTCAATGATATGGAACTAAAGTATGATAGACATCACTGATTAAATTATATCCAATTACATAAAAAGAGATGCTTTTATTTATTATATATATATAAGTAAAAAATTTTAAAAAAGGATGCTTATATTATTTATACATAAGACCAACTTGAAGCTTTGTAAATATCGATGTAGTCATACTCACTACCTCTTTCATAAAACCGTACTCATACTTAAAGTCATGAAAAATAGAGTATCAAGAAAGTGCAAAATATGTATAAAGTTTGTATAACTCTTGTTATTTCCAATAGAAATGCATGGTAAGTGTTAAACTAAAGAATATTGTAATACCTAACTTGCCTAGAACTCCTAAACAAGATAAACTCTCCAATAATACAATATTAAGAAATATAACAAACGAAACTCTAATACAATATTAGCAAAACGTTGATTCTGCTCCATCTATACGATGATAATCTGTGTTAAATAGTCTAATAAAACAGCACCACCAACAATCAAATTACGGCGAATTACATTAAAGGATAAACAGCGGCTAATTAGACACTAATCACCAAAGCAAAATCACCGTTGGGGGATCGCGCGCGTTGCGCGCGGGCCAACAACTAGTATGTAAAAACATGCATCTCTCAAAGTTAGTTAATATATATGCTTAATTTCTCAAAGGTTTGCCCATATCTTTCAAAGCAGGTTTGCCAAGATACTAGGAAAGTGCACGTCATTATCCACCCCCACAAGCCACGCACCACTATAAAAGAGTGTCCAAAGTTTAGGGGAAATATTATTTATCAAGGTACATGGATAGTTACAATTCATATGTTACTTGCAAAATTACATGTTCTTTTATAAGTTATTGTAAACATCAAAGATTCAAAGCCCTAGCTACCCATCATGCATATATGCAAATGCAAATGCAAAGAATAATTGAATTGAATCTTATTCTCCAAAAATTTTCATGATTGATCGAGTATCTCTTGCTTGAGATCCATTTTCTTCAATTTGAAGTTGATGAAGGTTCGTATATATACGTGGAGGAGCCAAAACTCTAAATCTCGGATTCATATATGTGGTGGATCCTAAACTCTTAACTTAATCTCTTATCTGCTAAAAGCACGTGTTCATATTCAACCACGTACAAATAGTATGATGGACAAAATAGTATGCAATCTATACACACAAGCCAAGTTAAATGATTTAAAGTCTACAAAAACATCTGATTAACTCGTCTATCAAGGACGTATAATCAAAGATTGTATTCACGGGACATCACTTATACTGTATATAACACAATAGTTGTTTAATGTAGGTTTCATTTCTTCATATATATTCCTAGACATTTTCCTCATAAAAGAAGGAAAACCATTTTTCTTAAATTTTTTGGGGTATGCAATTTTAGTCCCACATGGAAAGAATAATAATGTCATGGGTTACAATCCTTATAAGGGTTACACTATGTGTGTTCAGTGTTCTATTTGTCTAATTTTTACTTATATCATTTTTTTATCTGAACTTATTAATAAAGCTCTGTTATGTTCACCTTATTTCCACGTCAGGAAAAATAAGTTCAAGCTTATTTTAACTGTAACTTGAACATGTATGAGTAATCCTTATTATAACTTAAATATTTCTAAACTTATCTTATATGAATTTAATTGAATTTTATTAGACTTAACATAGTAAAAATAAGGGAACATAACATATCAGATAACCTTAAGTGTCCACTTACTCCATTAATATGTGGTCTTTTGAAAAAGGTATCTAAAAACAAATTTATGGATTATATCAAAACAGACAATATCATAATAATGTGGGGTGAAGACGAGCATACGACTCAACAAGTTGTTGGATGACCCGGGCCCAACATTAGAATCCTCTTCAACATATTTGAGTAAGCCTGGCCTTAAGATATTGTTATATCTATGCACAAGAAACAGAAGAAATACTGTAGTTTGAAGTGTGTTCTTGCAACTGGATGTTTTAGGATTATATACATTAACAATTGAATAGGGGAAATTCTCATATCTTCATATAATCATATCTTCCATAATCCCCACCAAGCAATAAGTAAAAGCGTGGACTATTTTGTCAACATTATGCATATTATATTATGTCATGGAACAATTTATTTATATTCCGTATCAACTATCAAGTACGAAGAAGCAGTGATCGACTACTAATTATGGAGAAAAAAATAAATTAAAAAAACCGACAGTGTTGTATTTATTTTTGTTTAGGTTATTTTTAATTTTAATATTTGTTTTATTTTGGTTTATGAAAAGACCGCAAGGTTGTTGAGTCATACGTGTTCCATTATGTTGGGTCTGTTGAGTAGTACTAGTACGCTTTTCGTAATTTCGTACCATAACAAAAAACCAACACCTATTGTTTGATATCTGGTTGGATTGCACCTTTCTGGCTTATTGCTTGTTTTTGGCTAAGGATATATATATTCTTTAGAGATAAATTAAGGGTTTTATTTATGTTCTTAATGGTTTATATTTCATTCTTGATATATATATATTTATATATATATATATATATATATATATTGATAGAGTATAAAACATATTCCTGGACCTCAACCATCAATTTAAACTTTTGGTTGAGTTAGTTCTTTAACATGGTATCAGAGCCAACGTGACATAGAGGTCACAGGCTCGAATCTCATCCACCCCTCCTTTAAAATGGAATTAATTCGCGCCGGGTATGAGAGGGTCTGTGTTGCGTCCACATTTCAAGCCCAAAGGGCCTTTCATCTGAGGGGGAGTGATAGAGTATAAAAAATATTCCTGGGCCTCAACCATCAGCTTAAGCTTTTGGTTGAGTTGGCTAAGGGGCTAATCCCCTCATTGCCATATGGTTTTGAGGTGGAACCTCCTTGGTCTTGTAAAGTAGTGGACTTGCACTCTCCCGTGACGGGTGCGGCCCAGACCCGTATTTAACATGGTATCAGAGCCAGGCCCACGATCGGGGCCTTAATGGCTAAGGTATACTGGGCCAAACACTATGGATAGCTCACATGTGAGGGGGAGTATTGAGCCCATGAACAACCCACATGTGAGCATTCTCTTGTCCCACACTAAAATACTAAACACTATAGGGGGAGTGTAGTGGTAATGAAATCCCACATTGAAAGAATTCAAGAGTTACCACCACAATATAAGGCTAAGGGGCTACTCCCCTCATTGCCATATGGTTTTGAGGTGGAACCTCCTTGGTCTTATAAAGTGATGGACTTACACTCTCTCGTGACGGGTACGGCCCAGACCCGTATTTAACATATATATATATATATATATATATATATATATATATATATATATATATAATACGATCCGATTAATTTAATATAAATTGATCAAAAGCTTGAATCTTATATACAAGTATAAATTAGTGAACCTTATAACAATAATAGGGATACTTAAACGCATAACATAAACTGAGTTTTAGTCATAATATAGGTTTGACACATTAATTGAAATTAGTAACTATTTTTAATTTAAATTTAATTTTTACAAGTTGATTGTTGTTTGTTTTGGCATTCTTTCTAACTACAGTGTGATGAGCTCAACTCGTGGCTCCACGCACAATTGATCCTACTTTAAATATTAACACATTGGACAAATATTTAGTGCTGTACTGCTGTATTAGGAAGGCTTTAATTTTAGTACGAGTATTGCTTTGGGCTTACGTTTTTATTAATGTGCTAACTTGTAATTAAGGTAAAACCCGTATTTTAAATTGTACTTTCTAAATAAATGGAATTTTATGCAATTCAACCTAATCTAATTATGTCTAATTAAATTTAGAGGGCCAAAACCCCGATAAGACAAGAGTGGCCTAGGAAGAAGGGTAAGAGAACCCTCGCCTCAACATGCAAATCTTTCTATTAGACAAGTTGTCGTACTAATGGGTACTCCGTACATTATAACCGGCAGTCGGGTTGCCCCATCACCCAGCCTGTAATTCTTCATCCGTTTCCCAGCAAAGTTAAACACAAATTGGTTTCTTTACACTACTTTTATTCATTTCATTGCCTTAAGAATATGTTCCTTCTTTCCCCACTTCTAATCAGTAGTCACTCAAGCAATCACTAGACAAATAAATGTACAAATATATTCTCCACTTACCCAATATCTAAAAATTTTATGAGTTTATTTTGTGCACCAATTGATTTATGAGTAAATTATGATATATGGGCTACTCTAATATTTTAAGTATTGTGTATATGGATATGGAGTATAAAGAAATTCATTTTAAATAATATGTTTTAAAATTATTTTATAAATAAAAATATAATATAAATGGTAACTTTTGTTGTGAGCATTTTCTTTTCTTCTCCCCTTTTAAGGGTTTGTACAATGAGTAGATATAAAGGCTAATATATGACCTTAGGTTTTGAGTGTACATAACAAACTTACTTTACAAGAAATGAATTATTGAATTTGTATGATTAGTTTTGTTATAATTTGTCCTTTTCCTTCTTTTAATACAAGATTGTACAAAAGTTAGTTTTTCTTTTTTATTTTTCAAATTTTTGACATAAATGTTAACGATTATTGCATAAACATTTCATGGACCCAAGTTCTTATTGTTTACATATTTTACTCTTTAAAATATCATTTAATTAGAAGTGGTTCTAATTTGATATAATAATTCCAAGTAGAGAATATTATTTTCAGGACTATCTAATGAGTTAGAAAATCAAGAACAGAACAAGTCATTTTAAGTAATTAATGAAGATATAATTCCATATCAACTGAGACATGAAATATTACATAATGGAGTTGATGATAGTCTCTCCTCTTGTATACATCTCTCGCAAGATTAAACCAAAACTCTACCATTTACGAAGTAGAAGGCAACCAAAAAAATAAAAGGAAACCAAGATTGTAAAGGACAAAAATATATCCATATGGGTCATTATCTAACTAACTTCAAAATTGATGGGTTGGATTCGACTCAAGTTACCAGATACTTCAGTAATCGGCGATTTGGAGGAGGATTAATAATTTGGTACACATATTCTCCTTCTCCTTTTCCACTCTCGAAATCTAATAACTCGATGATCTAGTAACTAGAGAGAACCCTCACCCGTGTCACAAAAAAAAGGTACGTTTTTTTTTTTTTGTGTGTAATGAACTTATTATTAATCATGTGGGTGAGAGGTTTCATCTTCTTTAGGCTTCTCATCATCATCATCATCATTTCCAACACTAGTACTCTCATCATTAGCAATAACATTATTATTACCAACCTTATTAAGATGATGATCATCATTAGAATTACTCTTAGACATGAGCATTAAAGCAGGGGTAGCCAAGAAAGTAGGCTTATCATTGCCAGCCATAATAACAACAATCTTTTCTTCAAAAACAGGAGCACCATTTATCTTACTAACACCTTCACCTTTCTCACCACTCTCCAAATCTCCTCCTTCATTGCTTTGTTGTTGAGGATCATTATCTCTAGACAATCTCCAATAAGAGCAAGCCAATATAAAGAGAGCAAAGGCTATGAGGCCGAGCATCGCCGCTAGTCCTCCGAATAGGTAAGGAACCGGCGAGTGCCAAGGTGATCTTGGAGTCACCGTTGTCGCTCCCGGGGCAATGGAAAATGATGAGGTCTTCTCCGGGGTTAGGGTGGCGTGTAAGGTAGTTGTCATCCTCATTTTTAAGTATGTTCTGTTTTTTGGTTTTGAGAGATAACAGAGGAAAAAAGGTATTATTTTTTTGTTTTGGTTGTTGTTGATGTTGTTATGTTGTGGTTGAATGTTAGGTGGTGGGTTATGAATGTGAGTGTGGATGATGGGGGTGTGAGGGTGTATTTATAGGAGAAAAAACAAAAGAAAATAAAGTAGAAATGAAAGAGATAATTTGAGGGAGTAATTAAAAGGATCACAGATAGAGTGATGTTATGTTGTTGGAAAGAGTTAGCTAGCCTAAAAGGATGGGCACTAGTGCTAAAGAAGCCTACAAAAGTTAAATTAAAATTGAAACCAATTTTAGGGGGAACTTTTTTTTATTTTGTTTTGATTCCATCTTGTATTCCTATGTATGTACCAAGATGGTGTCAATTTAGTGAAAGATGATAGGAGGCCCGTTGTATACCTCAGCATATGGTTTCGACGGGTGGAGCCCATTCTACATTCCTACTACATTTCATTCACAACATAGTTATTACTTATTAGTTATAATGGTTTGTGGTTGTTCGGTTGACATCTAAATACATGAAAAGTTAAATCTTTTAAAGTTGAAAAAAATGATCGAGGTGCAGCGTATGTTTGATCAACATGTATATAATAATGCATATGAAGTCTAAATTTGTAGGCAATATTACTTCCTACAAGATGGCATAAGTGACTTGATTACCTTATTAATCTCCTTAATAGATCTTTCCATCAGAATTCTAATCTTTTGTGGTCGACACTATACCTTGATCTATCAGTTGTGTAACTAATAAGAAAAGATCCTTTCACCCATTCATTCCTGTAACCTGCTGCTACCAACTGCTCTATTTGTGTGTTGTGTGTTATCATAGTACTATAGGAATTTTTGTATACCGTTGCTGCCTTGTTTTCAGTGCAATGATTAGGTGTAGGTGATTCTGTAATTTTGTCATCTTGTGACTATTTATTTCTTTGGCTGCCCTCTCTGTAAGCTCAAGCAGAGCAGATATTTTCTAAACCTAATATCATCTCTTCTTCTTCTTTCTCTTATCTCTTTTCTCTCTTCTCTCTATTTTAATGTCCTCCTGCACCAACTATATTCAGCTCATCATGGTATCAGAGCCATAGGTGCAAAATCAGGACTCCTTTAAATCTGCAACTCTGCTCAAACTACTCTGCTCTAGAAAAATCATCTTGTTGTCAAAAATCGAAGCTTTATTTCTCATCTCTTTTTCTCACAAAAATCGAAGCTTTTTTAAACAATGGCAACATATGCAAACAATGTGTTTTATTTGCACCCAAATGATGGCTCATACTCTATCTCAGTAGACAAACTCACTAGGGCAAGTGACTACAGATCCTGGAGAAGATCCATGGAGATTGCTCTCACATCAAAAAAGAAGATTGGCTTTGTTTTAGGCACAGTCATACGTTCAACTTATGCTGCAGATGCTGTCAAAGCAGATCAATGGGACACTTGCAATTCTATGGTAATATCTTGGATTCATGCTTGTCTTTCAGATACAATTAAAAAATCTGTGCTTTATGTCAATACTGCTAGAGAGACTTGGGTACAACTTGAAAAACGGTTTTCTATGGAAAATGGATCTAGAAAATATAAGCTTAACAAAGATCTCTATTAGCTGAAGCAACATAATAACACTATTAATGAATATTACACTGCTATGTCTAGCTTGTGGGAAGAACTAGTTTCCATGAATGCTTTTCCTGTTATTAGTGAAATGTCTGCTGAGGTGAGAACCTTGTTGAATACAGTAGCTAGAAACCAGGAAGAGAGTCGTTTGTTCCAGTTTCTAAATGGTCTAGATGACCATTATGGTGCCATGAGAAGCCAGATGCTCATGCTAACCCCCCTCCCTACAGTTGAATCTGCCTGTTCTATGTTACAACAAGAAGAAAGTCAGAGAGATGTTCTGATCTCTAAGGTTGACACTGATATATTTGCAATGTACAGCAGACAGTTCCCTGCAAAACCATCTGTGACTTGCTCTCACTGTGGTGGGAAAGGACATAACCAAAGCAAGTGCTGGTATATCTATGGTTTCCCTAAGAAGCAGGACAAGCCAAGATTGAATCCTATTAATACAGGAAATAAGGAAAGATCCTTTAAACAATCTTGGAACAACAACAACAGCAACAAATTTAGGCCAAAAATGGCTGCAGCAGCTCAAGTTTCTACTGTAGAGGGAGGTAATATAACCCTAACTGCTCAACAGTTTGAACAACTTCTTAAACACATCCCATCTTCCAGCACAGCAAAGGGAAGTGAACTGATGAGGAGTTGGACAGCAGTTTCTCAGGAATGGTGTCCTGTAACCATACTGAATCTGTCTTAGATGGTTGGATAATAGACTCAGGGGCTTCAGATCACATGACATATGATCTGAGCAAATTTGCAGATCCTAAACCAGCTGGTGCTCTACCTAGAATAACTCTGCCTACAGGAGACTCAGCATCTATTTCACACATTGGTGTTGTTAACCTCTGTAACTCTTTGAATCTGCATAATGTTCCATGTGTACCAAAGTTCAAATACAATCTTTTGTCAGTGCCAAAACTGACTAAAGACTCGCATTGTGAGGTGAATTTCTATGGTACACATTGTGTGATCAGAGACACACTCACAAAGAAAATCAAGGGAGTTGGAAGAGCCAAGAATGGTCTTTATTACTTGGTCAATCAACCTTTGGGAGCTGATCTGTTGACTGAAGAACAGAACATTCATACATGTCTTGCAGCACAAAATGAATATGCTTCTGTCCCTTTTGCTGTCTGGCACCATAGACTGGGGCATGCCTCTTTGAAAAAATTACAGCACATTCCTTGTGTAAAGAAGATCATCAAGGAGAATAGCCAGATATTTGTAACTTGTCATATGGAAAAGTTTACAAAGCTGCCATACCAGTTAAGTGAGTCTCATGCTGCACAACCTTTTGAGCTGATTCACATGGATATTTGGGGGCCATATAAGGTCTGTACCAGAGAGAAATACAGATATTTTCTCACCATAGTAGATGACTACTCAAGAAACACTTGGGTGTATCTGCTTCAGCACAAGTCTGATTCCTTAAACCAGCTGAAATCATTCTCAGCATATGCCAAGACTCATTTTAACTCAAAAATAAAATTATTGAGATCTGACAATGCCTTGGAGTTTCATGATAAACCCTGTCAAGAATTCTTTGCTGAGTTGGGCATAATACATCAAACATCTTGTGTGGACAAACCTCAATAAAATGCAAGAGCTGAAAGAAAACACAGGCATCTCCTTGAAATATCAAGAGCCTTAAGATTTCAAGTTGCATTGGCTTTAACTTACTGGGGTGAATGTGTGATGACTGCTGTTCACATCATCAACATATTGCCTACCCCAATTTTGAAGAACAAAACACCATATGAGATGTTGTTCAAGACCAAACCCAAATATGATCACATGAAAGTTTTTGGGTGCTTGGCATTTGCTGCTAACCCATCCTTGATTAAGGATAAATTTGAACCTAGAGGAATTCCTTGTGCATTTCTAGGATATCCAGCCACACAAAAGGGTTACAGATTACTTGACTTGAAAACAAAGAAAATCTTTGTTTCAAGAGATGTGAATTTTCATGAAACCATATTCCCTTTCCAAGTTCAAGCCCTTGACAAATACATGAAACCTTTTCCACATTTTCTAAACCAAAACCAAGCTACAAAATTGCCTGTGAACCCTTTGGATGATGAGTATAATGATACTGATACTGAAAATGACACAAACCAAGCTGAAACACCTCAATCTTCTACTCACACTCACACCAATATAATTCAGCCTGAACCAGAAACAGAACCAATCCTAGAAACTCAACCTGATCCCAGTGCTCAACCCACTTCAAGACAAAGCACAAGAGTATCTAGACCACCATGCTGGTGGAAAGATTATGTGCAACCCAAATCCAAAAGAAACCAGCAAATTTCAAATCTTGCAACTCAAAATATAAACTCAGAATTTCACTGTTTCTTGACCACTCTTACAGCTTGTCATGATCCAGAGCATTTTAAACAAGCAGTGAAGGAAGAACATTGGGTGAAAGATATGAATGAAGAATTGGAACAGTGTGAGAAGAATGGAACATGGATTGTCACTATTCTTCCAGAAGGAAAAAAGGCAATTGGTCACAAATGGATTTTCAAGACAAAATACAAATCCAATGGTGATATTGAGAGACACAAGGCAAGGATTGTGGTGCTAGGAAACAGACAAAAATATGGCTTGGATTATGGAGAAACATTTGCTCCAGTAGCCAAAATGACAACTGTTAGAACTCTGCTAGCAGTAGCTTCCTTGAAAAATTGGATAACCACACAGATGGATGTCACAAATGCTTTCTTACATGGAGACTTAGTAGAGGATGTGTATATGACCTTGCCTCAAGGATACACTGGTTATGGGAGCATGATACAAATTGGTGCTGAAAGTACAAACTCAAAGCATGGAAATCTGGTTTGTAAGCTTGAAAAGTCATTGTATGGGCTTAAACAAGCACCTAGGCAATGGTTCTCAAAATTGTCATCAACCTTGATTTCTTTTGGATACACTCAATCCAAAGCAGATTACAGTCTGTTTGTCAAAGCAAAAAATGACTCATTCACTACTATTTTGGTGTATGTTGATGATCTATTGATTACAGGGAATGACAGTTAAGAAATTCAAGTTCTAAAATCTCTTCTCTCTTCTGACTTCCATATGAAAGATCTTGGAAAATTGAGGTACTTTCTAGGATTGGAAGTTGATCAGTCTAATGAAGGTATCTCTATCTCTCAGAGAAAGTACACTATGGATTTGCTCAAGGATCAAGGCATGCTGCAAGTCAAACCTCTAAAGCTGCCCATGGATTCTCATTTGAAGCTCACTGCGGACAAGGGCACTCCTCTCTCTAATCATGTTGAGTATCAACATTTGCTGGGAAAGTTGATCTATCTAACAGTTACAAGAACAGATATTGCTTTCTCAGTGCAAATTCTGAGTTAATTTATGCATTCACCTACAACAACTCATTTACAGGCTGCAAAAAGGCTCCTGAGATATCTGGCTGGAACTGTGAACCAAGGAATTTTGCTAGCTTCTTCTTCTGCTGCTGAACTGATAGCATGTTCAGACAGTGATTGGGCAAGCTGTCCTAACACCAGGAGATCAACTACAGGTTATTGCATTCTGTTAGGAAAATCTCCAATTTCTTGGAAGGAAAAGAAACAGTCAGTTGTAGCAAAATCAACTGTTGAAGCAGAATACAGGGCAATGGCATTAACTGCTTGTGAAGTCACATGGCTCAAGGCTGAAAGTCTAACTGGCTAATACAAGAGGGGGGGTGAATTGTATTTGAGGTGAATTCTAAAACTTTTGCGGAATTTAACTAAATAAAACAAAGACAAGAGTAGATATAGGATTTTCCAAATTTCCACTATGTAATCAAACTCTTTACAAGTGAAAATTCAAACCCTGTTAACAAGTTCCACAAATTAGGAACTTGTTCCCAACTCTCAGAAGACTTCAGGAACGAAGCTTCTTTAACCTCACTTTACAAACTCACAATCCCAAACCCAGAGTACTTGAATACAATATGTGATTACAAATACCTATTGCACTCAAGAATATTTGAAGGAAAAAAACTCTTCTTATGATATGTTATACTACTAGAATTTTTATGCTCAAGAGTCGTAAGTTGTTGAGATAGTTTGCATGAGTATTTATAGAGAAGACTTAGTCATTAACCTCCCACTACAATTACATACACATGTCAACACCCCACTAACAATTTGTGGAGTGAACGTGACAGATGTTGATCATGAAGGAGGTTTCCTTGCCTTACTCACTAATCCACTATCTCAACAACATGCTAAATATTTGCTTTGACAAAACCGTGTATTCAGAGATTCATGCAACAATAAAACTGCTTATTTGACTTTGTCAAAAACTAGTTTAAAAGGATTTTATTTTAAACGGATTTTATTTGAAAAGATAATTTATAAATTATTTATTTAAAACAACTAAGATAATTATTAAGATAATTATCTTTATTTCAGAAACTAAAAGGCTAGATAAAACATTTATAAATTATCTTTTTCCTTAAATAAAAATTATCTTTTAAAACTAATTTTTATTCCAGTAATCATAAGTCATTGAGTTCCTTCCCAGCTTTATATTATTGAGTGCTCACAATTAAAACTAGAACGTGAGATTGCATGAGACTTTTTGGAGAATGCTACTCCGCATCCAAGTTCCTACTGCGGAACGAACTTTGCTTGAATCCTTTATTCACCAAAGACTCAAAACACTCATTAGTCGAGTTTGTCAATTTTTCCATCAAAACCAAAAGGGTCAACAAATTCCCCCTTTTTGATGATGACAAACATTGACAAACTTAGGTAAATAAAATCATCCAGGCATGCAACATAAACTTAAATCAAAACATGAAAACTTTTAAAACAAACAGATTAATTAAAGAACTTAGAAAAGTACTTTAATGTATTTATTTAAGTAAAACAAAAAGACTGAGCTAAAGAAAATTACTTTATTGAGTTATCTGAACTTAGCAAAAATGTTTACCTTCGATGTGTGAGTTCCTTGGTAAACGCCTTAGCCGCCATGAAGTTTGTCTTTTCCCCCTTTTGGCATTATCAAAAGATTGAAAAAACAGTTTGCTATACTCCCACTAGACTACGTAGGGAATAGTGAGCTCAAATAATGCAAGGCAAATATAAGTTAGGCATTGAATTATCAACAAACACACACAATCATATGAAAAATAAGAGCCAAGTTCCGATATAGGAAATAGAAGAGGAACATAGAGAATGTAGAAAAAGATAAAGGCGTACAAGCCAAAGTTCAGAAAGATTAAACAAAACCAAAATAAAATTGTTCAACATATGAAATTAGAATAAGTGCAATCAAGGATTTAAAAGGCTGCATTGGTAGGATCAAGGGCTGGATTTGTGGGATCAAGTGAGTCTTCCTCGACTTCCTCAAAGGCTACGTTGTTGATAGTTTCCAGGATCTCCTTGTTGCCTTCACTAAACTTGCCTTCAGCCTGTGCAAGCTTTGCCTCCATGCCTGCAAATCCGGTTGCCTGAGATTCTGCCAGAGCCTGCACGTGGCCTTTAAGAGAGAGCAGTTCCGAGGTCATTTCCTCCAGTTTCTTGCTCACCAGAGTAGTCAACTTCTCCATATCTGCTTTAACCTGTTGAAAATCATAAACAGACACACGAGTTCCAGAGAAAGCAGCAAAGCCAGTAGGCTGAAATGGAGGAGGAGAAGGTGAATGAGGAGGCTGCCTAGTAGGTGAGACAGGAATAGAAGAGGGTTCAGTGGCAAAGGGAACTTGGGTAGGTTTGAAGGTGGGATCAGATTTGTCTGAGGAGCTGATGGTTTCTACAGTCACAGGGTGTGTAGTAGAAAGGGCAGGCTTGACCACATTCCTCTTACTTCTTCTAAGGCCCCCTGTAAATACAGGAATGACAGGTGGTCCAGCTGTGCTCTCAGAGTCTGTTGTATGTTCCCCCTCACTTTGATCAGTTCCCTGCCCCTCATGTGAGTCAGATTTTCGAGCTTCCCCCTCAGAAACTTCCTTATGTTCCCCCTCAGAATCACTGGAGGTGGTAGCACCCTCACTAGCATCCTCACTACCCTGGTCACTGCCCTCCTCATCACTTGCATCACATTCTTCCTCATCTTCTTTCCCTTTCCCTTTCTTTTTCTTCCCTCCTTTCCGAGGCACAAAACATACTTTGCCATTTTTAAGCCTAAGACTCAGTCTAAGTAATGATCGTTCAGAGAGGATATTATCGGGTTTGAGATATGTAGGGGATTCACATTCAACATCAATACCAAAAGATTTGAACAACACAATAAGGAAAGAGCCATATGGAATTGTGGTCTTTTGAGCATAAAAATTCAAGTGTTCAATCATTAGAGCAGGGAAATTAATCTGTATTTTGCGTGCAAGACAGAATATGAGGGAGGCATCCAAGAGTGATACGGTACTCCGTTTTTGTAAACGGGGTACTATACCCTTCTAGGTGAAGGTAAACAGTAGCTTATGAAGGGGTGTTAGGGCATGATGGTGAGTAGTTTTCACTTTCGGATTTCCTCCAATAAATTGAAGGATTTTGCATTCATCATTATGGCCAATGTTTATAGATTGTTTGTGCTTTAAATAAGAACAATAGCCTTTAACAGGAACTTGAAATAGATTTCCAAGATAATTGGCATCAAACGAAATTGGAATATCATTAACTACGGCCGAGCACACACCATTATCACATTGAAAGGTATTTTTGTACTCATAAATAAATTTAGGATAAACAGGATAATGAGAACAATTCTGGAACAAGTGAGTCCATTTAAGATAATCAATTAAAGAAGTAAATTCAGTGAACTTACTCGCCACACACCAATCATAGTTGATGTGATATCCGAGAGTGTAATTCCATGATGGGAATTTGGTGGTTGCGCGCCGTTTCCTGTCGCCGCCCTTCACAGCCTTAGCCTTCCTCTTTGGCTAAGCAGATGGATGCACCACCGCAATTGGCACCGGTTGTGGAGACCCCGTGTTTGAGGAGGGTTTGGATGGTGGTGATCGGGTTTTTGGGGTGGTGTTTCGGTTGGTTTTCATGGTGTTGAAGGTAAGATGAAGGGAAGGAGAAGATGAATAGTGTGGATAGGAAGGAGAGAGAGTGAGGCCGGTTATGGGAGTTTATGGGGAGTTTAATTGATTTGATAGGTGAAGGTGGAGTGAAAAGAAGAAGAAGAGTTTAATTGGGAGGAGTGAGAAAGAAAAGTGACAGGTTAAAAGGTGAGGTAGTGGGGTAGTTTTAGAGGTAGTAGGATTTAATTGGGTGAAATAATTGCACTCATCTAATTCAATGTAGATAAAATAAAGTCGTAAGTTAAGGAGTTGATATACATGCTCCTTATCGTACGTAACAAATACAATCTTTTTGTATTTTTTGAATTTTGAAAAGAAAACAGAACTAAACACAGGAAAATAAGGAGGAAAAAATAAAAGATAAAGAATATGAATAAAAGATAAGAATAAAAGATAAGAATAAAGAGGAAATAAAAGATAAAATCAAGAACAAAAATAAAAATAAAAAATAAAATAAAATAAAAAAAATGTACAGATTGATCGTAAATTATAATGATAATTTACGTGATCATAATACAGAGATTAAAGAATGATGAAAAGGGAACTTGAAACAACATGGCTCAATATTTTTACATATTAAAAGTATGTATAAGTGACTTTTCAATACTTTCACAAATCTTTCCCCTGGGTAATTTCAGCTGTGTTATGCACAAAAGATTGAGCATAACATTGTTAGTTACATCCGATTTTACCTTAGGGGTTCCAAACAAAAATCACTTGAGCCGTAGCATCTCCAATTCCACACGCATCTTTTCAAACTTGTCTCTGATTAAAGGCTTAGTCAATATATCAGCAATTTGGCATTCAGTAGAAATAAAATCTAGCCTTATTAAGCCCTTTTCAACATTATCTTTCAAAAAGTGATGCCTTACATGAATATGCTTGACTTTAGAATGTTGTACTGGATCTTTAGAGATACAAATGGCACTTGTGTTATCACAATGAATAGGAACACACTCTAAAACAATACCAAAGTCACGCAACTGTTGTTTTATCCACAGCAATTGAGAGCAACATGCAGCAGCAGCCACATATTCTGCTTCGGCAGTGGATAGAGCAACAGTGTTTTGTTTCTTGGAACTCCAAGATACCATGCAAGAACCTAAGAATTGGACCATACCTGATGTGCTTTTACGATTTACTAAATCTCCCGCATAATCAGCATCAGCATATCCTCTTAGGTTGAACGAGTCACTTTTAGGATAAAACAAACATAATTCTTCCGTCCCTTTTAAGTATCTTAGAATCCTTTTGACGGCTGTTAGATGCGATTCCTTTGGATCCGATTGAAATCTTGCACAAAGACCTACACTAAAAGAAATGTCAGGTCTGCTAGCAGTTAAATATAACAAGGAACCAATCATACCTCTGTATTTTGTTTGGTCCACACGAGTTCCCTTGGGGTCTTGGTCCAACCTTGTGGTTGTTCCCATGGGAGTGTGGTTTATCTTTGTGCTTTCCATACTGTATTTTTTTAATAACTCCTTCACATATTTCTGCTGATGGATCATTATTCCTTCATCAGTTTGCTTAATTTGGAGCCCAAGGAAGAAGTTGAGTTCCCCCATCATGCTCATCTCAAACTCACTGCTCATTAAATCAGCAAAGTACTTGCACAAAGATTCATTAGTTGCACCGAAAATAATATCGT